TGTAAAAGGGAAATACTTGTTTAGGGTGGCCAGGATCTAGAGTTGGTGGAACCACGAGTAAAAGTCAGCGGAAGACTTTACACCTTGTATTGGAAATGTCTGAAATGACAAGGATAATAATAATGGATAATACATACACATTTATAGGCTAGGAAGTACCTATTCGGAATGTACCTGTTCGTAGTGTATTGCGAGTCGCAACTATTCGCGTGACATGATTAGTGACTGTTCGTGTGACTGAGAGTGGCGTGACCCTTCGGGGGACTATACGCGCGAACCTACTGTTCACGCGTTTACTCGCTATTGCTGACATCATCACGCGCGCCATCCATTTGTTGTTTCGTCTGAAAACCCAGACCATTAGTTATTTCCCATCTGAACGTTAAGACCGATTATGTTTTTTTTTTTTTTTTTTTTTTTTTTTTTTTTTTTTTTTTTTTTTTCCATCTGCAAAATCAGACCAGGTGTAGTGTTTCATCTAAAGCGTCAGACAACGCGTATGTTTTCGTCTGGAACCGACAGGTTTCCCAACTAGGCTAGTTGGCAACAAGTCCACAGGCGATGGTCCCAAACTCCAAGCACGCGTAATTATGACTTCGCGTGAAACTCCCCTGCGTTGTCACACAACGCAACTTGGTGGCAGGATGACACGTCACGTCCTGCCACTCGGTGTCCTTTTTGTGTGCTTTCGACGCACCAGACAGGCAGTACATGGGCAGCGCCGCTGCTGACATGTATGTGGTCGGCGCGCATGACAGCTTTTGGAGCGCATTGTGCCTGGCATCTTCTTGCCAGCACATTGCCTGCACCATCAGAAATCTGGCTCGTGCGTCTCGAGCTGGCGTTGGGTTTCGTGATGCTCAGGAAAGAGAGCGTCACTTCCGTAGCACGCTCCCTGCATGAAAGCTGAGCCCATTCCCTCCTCTCGCATCACCTTTCCCTTCCTCCGGAATGCCTAGGAAGGCCCATTACACCCCTCTGTTGTCAAACAAGGCTCTCACAGCCTGCCGAGCATAGTAGTTTCTAGCTCCTCTATGAATGTTTCTGCAGCTCTGACTAGCCTTCAGTACGCGCCATGACGGCAGACGCAGGGGCTAGTGCCCCAGCGAGTAAGCCATGCTCGAACACCCCCCTCCCTCCCGATCCGAGTGCGCTTAGCGCACTGGATTTCTTGCGCCGCGGCGCACGCATTCATCCAGCCTCCTCAATAGCTACAGCAGCGGCATCAGCGAGTACACAACATAATGCTGCCGAACCACCGATCGCGCCATCTCATACAGCGGCTGCTCCTCCAGCGGCAGCCGCTGAACCTCCCGCGGCGCCTACACCCTCTCTTGTGGCGGACGGTACACCTGTCCCAGCTCCCCCACTTGCCGTGCCCTCTCCAATGGCCCACCATGCTCGTGTTGTGCCAGCTGGTCCTCTGGCTCCTGATCTACCTACAACACCTGCTGGTCAAGCGACTGGTGGTGACAGTGAGCCTCGCTCGTCACCCTCTTCAAGATGGCAGCCGTTCGACAATCTCATGCCTGATGTAGACGTCGAGACCTGGGTTGCCAGTCCTAGACCCGAATCTTCGCCCCTCTCGACGAGTACCTCTTCTGTACCTTCGTCTTCCGTCACCGCTACCGTCGTTGTGTCTCGCTCTCCCGCCGTGGTGGGTGGACCGGTCCTTCCTGTGCGTCGTCCGGGGAAAGCTAAATACAAGCAACGCAAGTTGTCCTTCGCCCGTCCTTGTCCAACGGTGCCTTCTGCAGCACCCGAGTCGCTTGCCGCAAACAGCTCCGACCCTGGCCCGTCGACGACAGCCGCGGGCACCGCTGGCCCGTCGACTACAGCTACAGAGGACGATGACACTGACGAAGGCCCGTGGCCAGTGACCATCGAGGAGCTGCAGCTGAAGTGCAAGGAACAGTGGCAGCGGCACTTCCCGTGGCTGGTTATTTCCGAGACTAGTGAAGGCCGCCCCTGCATTAAGTGCACTGTATGCATGGCGTACGGCCAGCCAAATTACCAGTACGGCCGTGATGGAGAGGGCGGCATCGACATACAGAAGCGGACGATGCGCAAGCATGACTACAGCGGGAAGCATGAAGCGGCCATGGCGGTGAAGGCTCACAGGGACGGCAAAGTGAAGAACCAAAAGAGTATTGTCGACTTTGAGGATGGAGACGAGGATGCTCGTCGTTTGAAAAGGCTCCTTGCGATTGTTCTCTTCATTTGCAAGTCTAACGCTCCTATTGTTATGTTTGTGTCCCTTGTTCAATTCATGGCAAAACAGGGGACACCCGATATGCCCCTGAAGGAGAACGGCACGTACTATTCCGAGTAAGCCGTTTGTCTTTGCCCGTATGCTCGACGCTACCTCTCTTGATGTGCCTTGTTCGTTTGTTTTATCCCGCCTGCCACAACTGATTCCCTCGTGCTTCTTCTCGCAAATACGGCTTTGCCCAGATGGTGGAAACCATGGTGCGTGCACATCAACTGAGGCACATCCTGGCTAGCCCCTTCCTTGGCATCCATTTCGACGAGAGCACCGACCGTCGAAGGGGGAAGCACATGATCGTCTATCTCACCTTCCTTCGCGACCGCAAAGTCGTCACCGAGTTCTACGCCCACCTGACTGTGGAGAAATGCGATGCCGCGTCACTACAGGCGGTCTTGCTCACTCACCTTGAGGCAACGGGGATAAACCTGCAAAGGATTTGTGGCATCAGCACGGATGGCGCTAGCGTGATGACGAGGGCACAAACAGGGCTCGTAGCGCGGCTTCGAGAGCGGATCCCGCATCTCGTCAGCGGCCACTGCATCGCCCACAGGTTGTTGGTGCACCATAGTCATTTTTGCTTCGTTTTTTAATCGAACAGAATACTAATACCTTTGGTTTTTGCTTGGCAGGGAGGCGCTTGCAGCAAAAGACGCTGCAACCTCTTTTCCCGACCTTGTCATTGTTGACAAGGTAGTGCGATCATTGGCCGAGGTCCTCGGCCGTTCGATTGTGGTTCACAATCGTTTCAAGCAACTGCAAGAAGTGGTTACAGAGACTAATCTTGAGATGCAGGGTATCCACAACATCAGGTGGTTGTCTCGAGGTGAGGCAATCCAACGGCTTGTCGAGGTATTCCCCAATGCAATCATTCTTCTTTCAGAGTACAATCACCAGGCCTACCAAATGGTAATCAGTCTCAAATTCCACTTCCTCCTCTACTTCCTTGCCGACGTCCTGAAGGAGTTGAACATCCTCAACTTGAAGTTCCAGCGCCGACAGGTGAGGGGGAGACATTTAAGGGATTGGCAACTGTATGTATATTCCTGTTGTTTCCTCCCACCCGTCCCCACTCCCGCCTGCCCCTCTCCACCCTACCTCAGGTCGATGTTACGCACATGCTTCAAATGGTGGACAACACTAAGCTTACTGTGCGCAGGCGCTACATCAACTACGGTCAACACTTCGGACATGGGAACACTGCTCTTGTGGAGTTCATCGCCAAGCACACCGACATCCGAAACCGGCAGGTCACTATCCGGGGTGTAGACGCGGACGGGACGCCACTCATCCATACCTACGAGCTGCATGAGAATCCAATCCACGGCCAGCGGAGTGACGGAGACATGGGGTCGCTCATGGCCCTAGCAACGTCTTTCGTTATGAAGATGCTGAACGACATCGACTCGCGCCTGGCCGATCTTAGCAACCTCAACTGCACCAAGCTCTTTCCCCAGGGAGTCTACCCCAAGACGATTCAGAAGAGGGCACGGCGCTTTCCGCTGTGGCTTGGTGGTTTGCGGAAACTCTACAAGCGCGCCCCGGACGCTCCCGACACACTGCCAGGTTAGTCATCCTTTGCACTGTTGCATCATTTGCATGCTTTGATCCCAAGCTTGCACCTGGCATGCTTGCTAGTTTAGCATACCCCTGTTCTTTGACTGCTGAACGGTCTCGCCCTCCCTCTCATTCCATCTCCCTTCTCCATTGCACACTCCCGTCAGGGGTCAACTAGAGCAAGGCGGAGAAGGAGCTGACACAGTTCACGACCATTATGTCTGCACAACAGAAGGACTCTAGGTTCCTGGACGGCTTGAAGAACATGCTGGCCTCTCCTGACTGGGAAACGGCGTACCCCAACTTGGTGCTGGTGTGGATCGCGGTGGTAGTACTCCCTCTCAGCACGGTGGAGTGTGAGAGGGGCTTCAGTCGGCAGAACGTTATTAAGAGTTGGCTCAGAGGCAACTTGTGCGAGGCCAAGTTGTGCGAACTTCTCACTATCTCCCTGCTCGATTACGACATGGATTGGGACTCCATGGTGGCGAGGTGGCGGGGGGTGAAGAAGCGAAGGCCGGCAAAGGAGGTGGTGATGGTGCAAGCCGTGCGGACCAAAAAGCGCAAGAGATCGCCAGCGGCGAGGGCGGCAAAGAGGGCGGCAGCAGCAGCAGATGCAGCAGCACGACAGGCAGCGGCAATCGCTGAAGCAGAGGAAGTGCTCCAGGAAGAAGAGCCTGGACCTGCATACTAGAAGAGAAAGTCCAGAGGCAAGGCAGTAGCAGAAGCAGCAGCAGCAGCACCTGCAGGAGACTCTTGACAGTGAGGAAGAAGACAATCCCTTTGCTAGTGACAACGAAGAAGACTGAGTTTAAAAGGTGTTCATGAGGCTGATGATGGCAAATCCTGTAGGTTAAGTAGCTCAATAGGATAGGTACGAATGTCGTTGTTGTAGACGTATGAAGATGTATGTGTTGTTTAACTTGAACAAGAGATAGTAGACACTGTGCAATTTGCTTAGCTAGACTGATCCCACCATTTCAGATGGAAATACAGACGGTGCAAAAACTTTCATCCGAAGGTGCAGACTGGCTTTATGTATTCGTCTGAAACGTCAGACTCCACCAATTCTCCCGTCTGATGGTCAGACAGCGCACAAAAATCCGGTCTGAATGTCAGACGTCCCCAAATCCTAGCAAGAGCCCCTGGTGTCGCGCTACTAGTAAAGTCTAAGTGTTATATCAGGAATGCATAAGTAAACTATTGAGTATACTTCAACAGAGAAGAGGTACGACAAGGCTATCCCAGTGCCACGACAGCACGTCCTTAGCATCCACCATAATCCCCTGAATACAGACACCACACCTGGGACTACTGACAGCAGTATGCTAACAATGCTGGTGTGCACTTCCTCCCAGGTTCTCGATATGGAGACTTCCTCTAATCAGAACACTCCCTCATCTTGTGATCCTCACTAAGCTGAGAGAGCCCTACTGCATTATCAATTCTTTTGCAAGAGAATCTTCTCAATCTCCTCTAAGGAAAGCCCCTTCGTTTCAATCACAAAGGAGTGGACAAACGCCATAGAGATAAAGCACACTGCGCCAAAGAAAAGGTACACCCCGCTGACCCCAACCACTGCTGTTGCCGGAAGAAAAAAGCAGCCAACACAGAAGTTGCACACCTGAAAAGGTGCATGCGGAAGTCGCACATACAAACACAGCCCACATGAATGGGGGTGGTTTTTTTTTCCAATTCCCAAATACCCAGTCAACGCATGCGGAAGTCGCACGTACAAAGCCCGCGATAACCACACGGCTCCAACAAACAAGCAGAAGACTAGAGAGGTGGGAGGGCAGGTCAGCCAGCCATGGTTGACAATGCAACAAAGACGGTACTTCCCAATGAAGACATGGCATATTCGGAATGCCCATTTCTACCAGCTCAACGTACTGGTCTTTAGGTGTGTCTCATACTCTGAACCCGTCATACCCAAAGACCGTTGACCTTCGGCCTTGGCACAACAACATAAACGTTATCATAAGACCTTCATTCAACCTTTGAATGAGCCAAACAATTCAAACGTACCCGTAAGACCTTCGACCGTTGAACAGCCCAAACACTTTGAACGTACCCAACGACCTTTGACCTTTGAACAAGCCAGACAACATAAACACAACCAACCCAATGACCTTGGACCTTGAACAAGCCGGAAAATTCAAACATACCCAGTGGACCGCCATGCTGAATGCCACGCCTGTGGCGCGCACTTGCAGGGGGAATATCTCCGGGAGTAGCAGGCTGGGAATGGGGCCCACTCCACACGAAAAGGCCGTCACGTACCTGAGAGGTTGGGAACGAGAGGAGAGAGATTACACAGGGCACAGGTTGGTTTATCTTAGCTGGAAACGAATCCTCCCCTGCAGCGCGCACTTGCAGGGGGAATACCTCCGGGAGTAGCAGGCTGGGAATGGGGCCCACTCCACACGAGAACGCCGTGACATACCTGCAATAAGTAAAACAGAGGGGAAATATAGTGCGGACCATAGGCTGATTTTGACTTGACTCGCGAGTGCCGTGACATACCTGCTATGTGCAGAATAGAGGCGAAGATATTCTGCACAGGGTATATGCTTCTTCTGACTACTGCAAATGCAAGATGACATGAGCAGCAGAGACAGAAGTGGGCTTTGGTCACGTGAGGAGGGAGGGATGCCATGGTGCATGCATGGTAGCAATGGGCACATGCCATGGTGGTAGCATGGACACATGCCATGGTGGTAGCATGGACACATGCCATGGTGGTAGCATGGACACATGCCATGGTGGTAGCATGGACACATGCCATCGTGCATGCATGGGAGCAATATGGACATGCCATGGTGCATGCATGGTAGGGCGTGGGGTTGACTTTCGAGTCAACTAAAAAGTCACCTCAGCTCATCTCACGTGATCGTGCCGATGATTGAGAGCACTGGGGCGTGGGGCTGGAGAAACGGCAGGGAGAGGGCTGCAGAGAGGAAGCACATGGAACATCCCTGGTGACACGGAGGGAAGGAACAAGAGGGGAGTGTGGGGGGGAGGGGGGAGACGAGGGAAGAGCCCCAGGCGAGGAGGGTGAGAGGTTTTCATCTCATGGATGTGGGGAGAGGAGAAACGAGAGGCAGGGCGAGGGGTGCAGTCTGCAGAGACGAAGCACATGGAGAATTGGGGGGGAACTATAAGAGGGAAGAGTGCACTTCTGAGTCGACTCAAAAGGAGACGAAGCACACGGAGAATCCGGGGGGAACGATTAAGAGGGAAGAGTGCAGGGAGGGGGGAGAAGAGGGGTGGGGAGGGGAGGGACGAGAGAGGAGAGTGAGGGAAGTGGGGCATGAGTTGTAGAAGAAGAAGGGAGAGCTGAGGTGAGAGGAAGTACAGGGAGCAGTCATGACGACTGGGTGGACGGTAAGAGGGAAGACTTGTGGGGAAAAGGGGGGAAGTGGAGGGAAGTTCCAAGAGAGGGATGGGTTGAGCAGGGGGAATGGGGGGAATGGGGGGAAGACCCAAGAGAGGAGCGGGGGAGTTGAGGGAGTTGGGGGAGTTGGGGGAGTGGAAGGAGTGGAAGGAGTGGGGGGAGTTGAGAGGATTGCGCCACACTAATATAATAATTATAGTGTGGACGAGGCATGGAGAAGTCGGCTGAGCAGGGGGGACTACAAGCAGCGACTGGGGCGGTTGGTGCGACTGGCCGGCCACACTCAGAGAATGAAGTGCATGCGTTGTACCGTACTGCACCACACTGCACTGCACCGACCTGCACTGCACTGCACTGAGCTGCGCTGGAGCATACTATAACGCATAGCATTGCCTTGCACCGCAGTGTGCCGCGTCATACCATGCCAAGAAAGGAGAGCATGAGGAGGGGCTTCCTGCCTGCAGAGTCCACCAGACGAGCAGCCAGCAGCACCGCTGGTGGGGGGAAGCAGAGAGGGGGAAAACTGCTTCAGAGAGGGAAGAAGATCAAGAGAGGGGAGACGATTGAGCATGTTGATTGAACTAAGACGAAAGAGGCAAAAGAGTCTACCAGACAAGCCGCCAGCAGCACCGTTGGTGGGGGGAGATGGGATATGAGACATGAGAAAAAAATGGGGGAGAGGAGGGGGGATGGCAGGGAGCAGCCAGAAGAGATAACAAGACGACAAGAGTCCAGCATGAGGGGCCAGTGCGGAAGACATGCGAGGTTAAGTGAAGGCGCCTCACAACCTACCCGCTCCTCCCCCCCCCCCCACCCCCCCCTCTCCATCCCCCTTCCCAGCTAGCCTGCTTACCTGACAGCTTGAATAGCGCGATCAGCACCGAGGCAGCAATGCCTGATGTGTAACCCGCTAAACTAAAGACGTGCAAGAAGTGAAGGCGCCTAACAACCTACACCCAACCACCCCCCCTCCAGCCCTCTGCGCGCACCAGACAGCTTGAATAGCGCGATCAGCACCGAGGCGCCAATGCCTGATGAGAAGCCAGCGGCGCGGAAGACGTGGGAGGAGAAGTAGACGACGGCGTTGATGCCTGCGAACTGCTGCAGGGCGAAGAGGGACGCTCCCAGCAGCACCGCTGCAGGGGGTGGGGTTGCCGGGGTAGTGGTTGGGAGAGGGGGTAGAAAGTAGACGACAAAGTTGATGCTTGAGAGAGAGCTGTTGCAGGGCGAAGAGGGACACGCCCAGCAGCAGCGCTGCAGGGAGTGGGGATGGGGGAGGGGGAAAAAGGTGCAGATGGTTGGTTTGAGTGCAGCTCAAGACACGTGTCGGAGGAGAAGTAGACGACGGCGTTGATGCCTGAGAACTGCTGCAGGGCGATGAGGGAGGCGCCCAGCAGCAGCGCTGCAGGGTGGTAGGGTTGCCGGGGTAGTGGTTGGGGGAAGATTTTTTGGGCGATTTTCGAGGCGATTTTTTAGGCGCCTCAAAAATCGACCCATCAGCAGTGCTGCAGGGGGGAGGGGGTGTCGGGGTAGCAGTTGGGGGAGGGGGGTAATTTGGTTTGGGGAAGCTCTAGAGCTTCCCTGGAGGGATGCCCTGGGAAAGCTCTACAGGGACACAAGAGGAGAAGTAGACAAGTGGGTTGATGCCTGAAAGCTGGTGCAGGGAAACGAGCGAGGGGACTCGGAGCAGTACTGCAGAGGGTCTGGAGGCGAGAATATGATACGTAATGGCACTGGAGGGGGTCAGGAGGCGAGAAAAATATACGTAACACTCGGCTTAGGGATATAGTGCAATTCAGCCGCTCGTCCCCTCAGATTAACCACACCATCCCCCTCACTCTTCCTCCTCCCCTTCGCTCGTTTCCAATCCCTCTCATCTCCTCTGCACCTCCTCACCTCGTCGGTATCTTGGATGGAGGAGAGAGGCAGGCGGCAGAGCACAGTTGCTGTTGCTGCCGCCGCTGCTGCTGTTGCTACTGCTGCTGCTGCTGCTGAGCAAAGGGGTGTGCAGCGTTCTAGCCCGGAGCGATGCTGAAGCTGACGCTGACGCTGAAGCTGACGCCAATGAGTGGTGTGAACCCGCTTTCTCAGTGGAGTGCGAACCTAGCGCCAGAGCCAGGGGAGTCGCTGATGCAGATGAGTGCGATTCTATCGCGCATGCATGGTGTGACGCCAGCGCAGGATGAGCTGACGTCAGCTCCAGCAGCACCTCTTCCGCCCCTTCAGTTCCTCGCAGGATCACTGCTGCCCGCGCTGCTGCCTGCATGCTGTGGTGCTGGTGCACGCGGGAAGAGAAGGGGAGAGCGGATGGGAGGGGATGAGTGCGTGTGTGCGTGGCTTCTGTTGCTCGAAGAATCACTGCTGCCCGCGCTGCTGCCTGCATGCTGCGGTGCTGAGGGAAGTGAGGAGAAGAGAGGATGGGAGGGCAGATAGTGTGTGTGTGTGTGTTAGTGTGCGTGTGTGGCGTTTGTTGCTCGCAGAAGCACTGTAGCCCATAATGCTGCCTGCAAGCTGTGGTGCTGATGCGTGCGGGAAGTGAGGAGGAGAGCGGATGGGTGTGGAGTGTGTGTGTGTGTGTGTGGCGTCTGTTCCTCTCAGAAATACTGCTGCGTGGGGTGCTGCCTGCGTGCTGTGGTGCTAGCACAAGCAGGGTATGGTCATGCGCAAGGCGAGGGCAAGACGAGGGGAAGGGGAGGGGAAGGGGAGGGGAAGGGGAGGGGAAGGGGAGGGGAAGGGGAGGAGAAGGGGAGAGGAGGGGGAGGGGAAGGGGAGGGGAAGGGGAGGGGAAGGGGAGGGGAAGGGGAGGAGAAGGGGAGAGGAGGGGGAGGGGAAGGGGAGGGGAAGGGGAGGGGAAGCGGAGTGGAAGGGAAGGGAAAGGGGAGGGGAAGGGGAGGGGAAGGGGAGTGGAAGGGGAGGGGAAGGGGAGGGGAAGGGGAGGGGAAGGGGAGGGAAAGGGGAGGGGAAGGGGAGGGGAAGGGGAGGGGAAGGGGAGTGGAAGGGGAGGGGAAGGGGAGGGGAAGGGGAGGGGAAGGGGAGGGGAAGGGGAGGGGAAGGGGAGGGGAAGGGGAGGGCAAGGTGGCGAAAAGAAGAGAGAGGGGTGCAGTTGCATGTGCTGCTGCCCCATGTGGTGGTGCTGGTGTGTTTGGTGGATTGATTTACAAGGGAAAGAAATGACACACACAACATCCTGGCAGCGGCCATACCGGCAGCAGGACGAGCACAGGGTGTATGAGAGCAATGCATTGCAAGAAAACAGGAATGGCATCCAGGTGACTCTTGAGTCGACTCAAAAGCCACGCCTGCAGCAGGAAGAGCATAGGGTGTTCCAGAGCAAAGCATGCTAGGGCGCATTGCTCTGCATGCAATGCACCCTAGCATGAACAGCATACACCCTATGCAAGCAAAAAAGGAACGGCATCCAGCATACCAGCAGCAGCCATCAGGGTGTCTCTGGTGCCACCAGTGCCGTGCCAAGCAGCAACAGGCAAGGGGGCACGCACCCCAGCAGAAACATGAGAGAGGGTGAGAAAGAGTGAGTCATAGAGTGAGATCAGAAGGGGAGGGAGGCAGCGCGCGTGCACAGCATACCAGCAGCAGCCATCGGGGCGTCTCTGGTGCCACCAGTGCCATGCCCAGCAGAAGGAGGCAGGGGGGCACGCAGCCCAATAGGAACATGCCACGCCACCTGTAGGTGTGGGAGTGCGGTAGGTATAGGAGTGCAATGTGGTGCAGTGCGGTAAGTGGCAATGCGGTGCAAGGTGTTGCTGTGTGCAAGCAGCAGGGAAGGGCGCACTCAGTCCAATAGAAACATACCAGGCCACCTGCAGGAAAGGGAGTACAGTGAGGTGCAATGCGGTTCTGTGAACAAGAGGCAGTGGTGCTTTCTATGGGGAAGGGGCAGGGGGGCACACAGAGGAAAACATTCCAAACCAGCTGCAGGTATAAGAGTGCAGTGAGGTGCAATGCGGTACTGTGAGTGAGCATGAGAACCAGCTCCACCACGCATCAGACCTATCCATCCCACCAGCTACAACCTCACTAGCTGTAAGATGCAACCACACTTAATCTCTATCTCCCTATCCATCTCGCCAGCTACTTCCCTACCACCCTTCACGCAATGTGACTAACAGCCAAGATTTATCATTCAGTAACTCTTAAAACCCATCCATATATGCTAAGCTCTTCGTATACCCTCACACCCTCACCAGCCGTGCTTGTGCTCTAGCGGTAGGCCCACCAGCAGTGCAGAAAAGACGCCAATGCTTGTGGACAGCTGAGCCAGAGTGTTAGTAATTTCGTTTTGAGACGTCTCAAAACGTAACACCCTCACCAGCTGTGGTGCTGCTCTAGCGGCAGGCCCGCCAACAGTGCAGAGAAGACCCCAATGCTTGTGGACAGCTGGCCCAGAGCGCCCCATGAGCCACGGGAAGGCGTGGGGGTCACCTGCAAGCACAAAGATTGGAAAGGATGGGCGCACGAGAGAACGGGGGGAAGAGTGGTGGCCTTGAAGGCAGAAAAGATTCCAGTGCTTGTGGACAGCTGGCTGGACCAGAGCGCCCCGGGTGCCACGAGTAGATGTGGGGACCACCTGCAAGAGCGCCCCGGGTGCCATGAGTAGATGTGGGGACCACCTGCAAGAGTAGGTAAAGACGGGTGCACGAGATAGTAACAAGGCGGCGAGAGGTAGCCATGAAAGTAGAGAAGACGCCAGTGCTTGTGGACAGCTGGCTGGGCCAGCGCGCCCCGGGTGCCATGAGAAGGCGTGGGGGTCACCTGCAAGCATAAGGTTGGGATAGAGATGGGCTGCGCACGAGAGAACAGGGGGTTGAGAGGTAGTCAGGAGCGCGGCAAAGATGCAAGTGCTTGTGCACACGTAGGCCAGAGCGCCCCACGTGCTACGAGTGGGCGTGGGGATTCCCTGGGCGAGGGGGGAAGGAGGGTTGGGGGAAGCGGGGAGGGGAATAGTCAAGGTGGGGAACACCAAGGGAAAGGGACACTGCAGAGGCGCCAGCACTGGAGGGGAGACGAGACAGATGGCGAGCTAAGCCTTCACACCCACATTCTCCCGTTGTCCAGGTGCCACGGGAGGAGGTGAGGGTCAGGTGCAATGCACGGGCAATGTCAGTAACTTGGACCAATGGTAGCTTCAAGAGCACCTCAAATTAAATACAGAGCAAGGCAGCTGATATGGCACCTCAATAACAAAGGAAGCTTATTATATGGCACCTCAATAACAAAGGAAGCTTATTATATGGCACCTCAATAACAAAGGAAGCTTATTATATGGCACCTCAAATACAAAGCAAGGTAGCTGATCTGGTACCTCAGTTACAATGTAGGCGGTTTCTGTAGTACCTCAGATATGTAGAGAGGAACCGTGCCAGATACGACCCCAAGGCCGACACCAACAAGAGCACGGCCAATCACCATGTGCCACGTGGCAGATGCTGCAGCACTGTGCTGCAGAGGGTGGGAGGGAAGTTGAGTGTTGAAACGAGTGAGTTGCAATGCAGTGCAATGTGGTGCAATGGCGGTGCATTGAGGCACAATGGGGTGGAGCCAGCCAGGTGCAATAGGCATGCAACAAGGTGAAGAGAAAGAGAAAACAGAAGCGCGGGCGAGGGAGGGACCAGGAGAGACGATCATGATAGGACCAAACTTGGAAGTTGGATCCAACACAAACAGACATCCAGATGAAAGGACGGAGGTCGCCATTATGACTCTGCCTTCTTCCTGCCCTTTACCCCTCCCTTCCTTCCCCCCCACCCATTCCCCCCACCCATTCTCCCCACTCTTTCCCCCTTCCTTTTTCCCCTCCCCTTCTCCCCTCCATGAACCCCCTCCTGTTCCCCCTTCTCTTTCCCCTTCCCCTCGACCCCCCTTTCTGTCTGCACGCACCTGAGCAGGGAACCAGCAACAAAAGGCAGGGCGGCAATTTGAAACGCCCGCCTCCTCCCGGCAGCGTCAGCAAGCCATCCCCCCAGCGGTGCCCCCACTGCTGCTAGTGCCAAAGGGGCACTCACCACCAGCGCTGGACGGTGGGGAGAGAGAGAGGGGAAAAGAAGGAAAGTTGGCGAGGGGGAGAGGGGGGGGAAGGCAGGAGATCGGGTTTCAGGGAGTGCGGGGTGAACGGGTGGGCGACAGCAAGCCATACTCAATGGCGGGGAGGGAGAGGGGGGCAAAAAACGGATGGGGGGAGGAAGGGGCACTGGGGGCGGGGCGGGGGGAGGCTGATCTGGGTGGGTGTTCTGATTTAATGTGGATGGAGGACTGACTGACTGACAGTATAAAACGTGGTGCAAGGGCAGAGAGAGACAGTAACTGCACTAAATGCTGCCATGCTACTGCCTCACATGCTGCCATGCTACTGCCTCACTTGCTGCCATGCTACGATTGCCTCACATGCTGCCATGCTACTGCCTCACACGGTGCCATGCTACTGCCTCACATGCTGCCATGCTACTGCCTCACATGCTGCCATGCTGCTACTGCCTCACATGCCATGCTACTGCCTCACATGCTGCCATGCTACTACTGCCTCACATGCTGCTATGCTACTGTCTCACATGCTGCCATGCTACTGTCTCACATGCTGCCATGCTACTGCCTCACATGCTGCCATGCTGGTTGCAGGTTGGTGCAGGTCGGCAAGAAGGAAGGAGAGAGAGGCGTTGATGACACTGGGGCGAGGGAGTGGAGGGGGGTAAGAGATGGGATGGAAAGGGATGTGATTGAATAAGACGCGGAGGTATCGGAGGGAGATATGAAAGGAGCGAAAGAGTCGTTAGTATTGTGGAGAGGCAGGGAGAGGGAGACGCAGGGAGGGGGAGACGCAGGGAAGGGGTGGGGGGAGGGGATGGGAAACGAGAAGGGGGGGGGTGTGTAGAAGGCAAAAGTTGCAGATGAACAGGAATGGAGTGAAAAGTGGTACAGAGAAGTGCAGAGCAGTGGAAATGACCAGGCCAGTGAAGTGACGCGTTTACCTGACATGGTAACCGAAGGAAAGCGCGCCACAGCAGGCAAAGAGAACTGGCAGCGCCACCCCCACCCCTCCATGCCGCCCCTTCCCCACCCCTCTCCTCCCCAGTCCGTAGCTCCCCCCTCCCAACACACAGTTAAAGAAAGAGCCTTTGGGCTCTCCTGCTAGACAAAAAAATGGCTCTGTGCCTGCTCCAGGGGGTGCCGTGGGCGTGGCTTGGCGTGGCGGCATGGGGAGGGAGGCTGCAACAATGAGCTTGTGAAACGGATGGTCCTCCTCGGGGATTAGCTCCCCATCGTCATCACAATCGCCATCGTCACCTGCTCATGCACCCAACCATGCATCCATGCAACCATGCATCCATCCAGAGGCACGGGGAGGGAGGCTGCCGGTATGAGCTTGTGAAATGGACGGTCCTCAGGGATTCGTGGAAGTTTGTAGCCTTGGTGCTGGTGATTGTGGGGTTGCGGGTGCTGGGGTTGCATGAAGTGTGGTGTGACTGTATGTGGTGGGGCTGTGGCGTGGCTTCATACGCTTTTGACCTGTCTCTGTCTCCATCACCTGCCATTCAATCATCCAAGCATCCAGCTAAACATGCAACGCATTCAACCATGCTTCCAACAACCATGCAGTCAACCATGCATCTAACCATGCAGTCAACCATGCATCTAACCATGCATCCAACCATGCACCCAACCATGCACCCAACCACCTATCTTAAGGAATTCAGATGCAGCTCCCACCCTTAGGCGAGCATGATCAGGGGGCTGGCCTACAAATCTGCACTGGCTTTGTGCAGCATCATTAGTAAATCGGTCCATACCTCCGTCCATTCCGATTAAATGGCTGACAGCTGTGGTTCGATGTCTTGCAGCAGCAGCAAATTCTCGACTGCTGCTGTTGCCGCTGCTGCAAGGCGCACTTCTCGCGTTATCGAGGCTGCTCCCAGCGAGTACATCCCAAGGCTTGTCATTTCTCATGCTTCTGTTTCGATCCCCTCGCTAGCTCTCCGCTTCCTTCGATGTTCCCTAAACACTAAATGTCTCCTACGGGGCAGCACCCATGTGCATCCTTCGACTCCGTAATAATCGGTTTCAGGAACTGAGTCCGGAGGTACGAAGTAGACTCCTGGACTACGGCGCGGGGATTTTGAATTTCGGAGTAATGGAGGTAATTTGAGGCAAGTCACAGATGCCCTCTGTGAAGAGTAGAGGGAGTGTGGGCCTGGTGACACTCTTCGCTGCAGGGAAGTATTTCTGGAGCAAGAAACTGGTGACCTCACTACAGTCAGTCTCACTTCAGGTTCGAAGCATGACAGGCCATTCTTGTAATACACTCAAGTCCGTTTTCGTAGTCCTTCTAGTCCGTGTTTACGAATCAGATTCACACATGCACCCATGTTCAATGAGATGGTTTGTTTTGTGCTGCTTTCAGGAAATTCGGAATGAAGACTTGCGGCAGTTCGGTGTAGACCTTGGGCTCTCCAACCTCGAGATCGGTTGGGGAGTTGTTCACCCCACACTGCACATTCAAATTCCTTGTTGATCCTCCCTGGCAGCCCCTGAGGATGATGTTTTCGAGGACAAGGTAGCTAAGTCCATGTCTCCAATAGCTCGTTCTTTCTACTCAACGGCGCGCTGTAGTACTGTGTGGGGTCTCTCGGGTGCCTCGAGCCTCTCAATTGATGCGCTCCATGAACAGTACCAGACCCGAGCGAGTGGCGGTACTAGCGACCACATATGGAGAGAACGTGTCGCCTTTACATGTTCGATGGCCGATACATTCGATTCGAGTTGAATAGTTTTGGTGCGCTTTATGCCTCAGCGAAGGAACGGTCGTCAATGCGTTTACGAGAAAGCTGTTTGCTGCTGGAACCAGGCAGTATTGTCCACGTGTTACAAAACTGTCTTTATTCAGTGGTTGCGAATTCGTGGCTGTTTTCTGAGACCACGAACAACGCCAGAAGCTTCGTGATCTCTTTGATTGACGCGGAGTTCGTTTCCACACGGAATGGGCCTAGCTGGCCGTCACCATAAATCTAACCTATTCAGCCGGCTTGCAGCTGACGCGAGATGGCTTCAGCACTCCATCACTTCGCTTCATGCCTCCAAAGGCCAGCCACATACTTTTGGTCCCTCGGAGCTCGTCAAATCACTGACATGAGAAAGAACCCGAAGCTGGTTTCTTTGGCAGTCAAATCTGGGCTCGCAGCCACTCTGTCTGCCGTGGTTTGCGCTCTTGAGGATCCCATTCCAGACCTGACAGAGATTGGAATATGGGCTGTCGTGACTGTGGACCTGGTGTTCGAATCCACCGTCGGATCGTCACTCGGGTAAATGAAATGTTGTGATCACGTGCCGTTTCCTGCTATTTCTACTTAGTGACTGATATAACATTCTCTCGGTTGTGCAGCAAAGGCATCAACAGAACAGCTGGTACCCTTTTGGCAGCACTTCTTGCGTTGGGTGTCAATCACGTCACGCCTCACCTTGGCTCTTTGAAACCTCTTTTCTTGGCGATACTTGTGTTTTGGGGAAGTGTCATTCCGACATACTACAGATACAGACCACCATTCAAGGATACGTAAGTTTTTTTCCTTCCATATTGAAGGCAATTACCATGATTCGATGATCTGACAGTGGCTTGGTGCAGGTGGAGCTATTCCTTTCTCATGATGTCCCTCACCTTCCACATCTTGATACTATCTGGTTACCGCCACGAGGAGAAGTTTTATCACCCCGTGGCACGGTTGGTGATGATCATTCTGGGCTTCACATGTGTTGGTGTAGTTCACGTCTTCATACTGCCTGCATACTCTGGAGACCTCCTCCACAATCTTGTGGTCAGTAGACTGAAGTCTGTTGCAGCCGAGCTGAACAGGTATGAATCTCATATCACGTTCCTTTTTTAGCTCAGTACAATCGAGGCTGACGCAATCTTCATTTTAGGTGTAGGGACTGCTGTGTTCTGGAGGGCACGTGCACAGACAGTGTCAACGAGGCTTGCAGCAGCATCTTATTTTGCCAAGCTGAAGTAGACAAGCACGTGAGTAATTCAATTTGCTGTGCGTTGTCTACATATACTGGCATACACTAAGAGTGAGTTTTTTTTTTTCAGCTTTCGGCTATTAAATTTGAGCTACCACATGGGAAGTTTTTCCATGGATACCCCTGGAAGGCGTATGGTCAAGTTCTGAGCAGCCTTCAGAGTTTAGCTCTTACTGTTATGACCATAGAGTCAAGTTCGCTTGCTGCTCTTGAAGGCTCTTCCTCACTGAGGCAGGATGTGGTGCAAGAGATGAGGGATTTCCTGCATGAGTGTGGAAGGTACCCTCACTGTCATTTTCATGCAAGAATGTGATCGATTTCCAGGCATGCTATTGACCCCGTGACGCCTTACAGCCATCAAATCATTACTCGTGGGGTCATGTTATGCAGAATTATTTTGATGCTGGCTGCATCCCTGGAGAGCTTCAGCTGGGAAGGGAGACCATCAATGACTCTTCTAGAGTCCATCAATGACTTGCTGAAGGAGGAGGCTGTAAACCACATGCAACCGTATTTGCATCCCAACACAGCAGCAAAACTTCAACTTCCAGCTGTTTCTTCATGCTCTTGCGCACGTCAAAGCATCATGAGCCCTACTGAATGGATTTCGGATTTGAAGCTGATGGATGGTTTACTCTCTCCACGATTTGACATTCGCATGTAAGGAGCATGCCATGCGGTTGTGCTTTTCACTCCTCTCTCCACTCCTACTTCGTACTTCCTCCCTCCCCCCTCTCTCCCACTCGTATCTTCTTGCCCTCCCTTCGTTCTCAATTCCATTCCAAAGCTCCCATCTGACTCTTGCAGGGGAAATCTGCGGCAGGCCAGGGATGTTGACTCTCCCGAAACTTTTTGTTGTCCGACAGCTGCATGCACTTCAGCCGTGGATTATGATGACTATGCTTCAGCTGCTCTTCCTTTCCTACGAGCTCTGCTGAATGTGCTCGAAGTCTTGCCCAGACTTTTCCACTTGATTGATGCAGTTGAGGTTGTGGCTAGTAGGGGGAGGTTTCGTCCAGCCGAGAAGAAGGAAGGTGCTGTTTTTTTAATATAATATTGTATACACATGGCTTCGCATAAGCTTGACTTCATGTCAGATTATGTAAAACACACGTGTTTCTCTAACAACAGCCGAAGCTGGTGGTGGTACCCTACATGGTTGTAATATCTTGCTATGCATCATGTAAAAAAGGGCGCATTTGGAGAGAAGGGCAAAGGGAGAAGTGGTTGTGGGAGAAGGGCTATATCGATACATGCACAACAGAGCCTCAATTTACATTGGAACAACACCATGCCTTCTCTACACGTTCACTAAAATAACTTGCTGCTGGTACAGAAGAAACATGAAAATTTAGTAGCAGCACATCATCTTTCAAAATAAGGCAGTGCAAACTGCTCAAAGGACAAGCCTGTCCAGGTAAATATCTAAAGCAGCAATAATCTTCAACAGAAACTTCTTTCGGTCCATGCGGTACCTGCATGTGGTGGTAATTTGGAGCAAAACAGGCGAGCCACGGCAAATGGGTGAAAGCCAGCACACCGTGTAGGGACATAGGCGAGCACAAAAACGAGCAAGTAGGTGAGCACATAGGGGAGCAAGTACCGTAGAAGAGAAAGTAGGCGAGCACATAGGCAAGCATACAGGCGAGCAAGTAGGCGAGCAAGTAGGACAGCATGTAGGCGAGCACTTGGGAGGATCAATTTCGATGCACATACTTGATGGCCGCCCACCATCTTGCTGACTTGTCCTCTGTCCCCTCCAACTCTGCTCAAAGTGGGCCATGCCGGGTTGGGATGACGGCGAAAATAACTGAGGACGGTGGAAAGGAGAAGAGGCACTGGATCCGTGACCACCGAAACAGTACATAACAGATTCAACATACCGTAATCACCCGGATAGACGCCCCTCCGTAGGACAAGTCCCATGGGCTTTATCTCGTGCTTTGGGCCTTATAGCTATTATTTGATTAAACGCCCCCCCTACTTTTCGACAGTGTGTGTACCCTATACGCCCCTCTTTATTTCGTAAAAAACTGTGCAAAACGAAGGAACGAGTTCGGGTAATAGCGAGAATTCTCGCTCTGTGCCAGCCGGAAGCGCAATTTGCGCCCTTCGACACTTCGCGCCAGCAGGATTCGCGTCAGAGTCGTCTTTTTCAGCCTGGCACATTGCCGACTGGACTTTCAGCCCGATGGGCTTGAGAATCTTCGTTAGAAGTGATCCCATCGCATGAAACAAAGCATAGGCTACAATTTGATACAGAAAAATCAATTTGCCTATATACCCTTTTAAACGCCCATGGGCGTATATTTTTTATTCAATCAAACGCCCACCCCGTTTTCAAACGAGTCCGATAAACGCCCCTAGGGGCGTCGATCCAGGTGATTGCGGTATTCAAGGCGCCTCGAAGGGTGGAAAGGAGAGGTAGATACACTGGATACACTGACTCACCTAGCACAGCTTCGTCCCCCTGCAGGGTTGTGGGGAACGCTCCCAGCTGATGCCGGCACTGCTGCTGCAGCCACCCTACCCTACCATACCTTATCTTGACACACTTTTAAAACAGACTCACGTAGCATTGCGTTGTCCTCCTGCAAAGTTGTAGTGAACGCTCCCAGCTGCTGCCGGCACTGCTGCTGCAGCAGACACACAAGGCGCAAGCAAGCACCACACCTAAACCACCAGCCCAACTCACCCAATACAGCTTCATCCTCCTGCAGGGTTGTTGGGAACGCCCCCAGCTGCTGCCGGCACTGCTGCTGCAGCCAGCGTACGGCTCTCAACTCCTCCGAGGGGACAGCTGGCACGTCGCCATTGGTCCATGTGGGTAGGCAGCGCAGCGCTGCCACTAGGGCTCCGTCCACAAAGGGGTCGGGCGGAGAGTCACCGGCTGATAGGTGGGGAGGGGATGAGGGGAAAGGTAGGGGAGGGGGGTAATATAGGGGATGAGGAAGAAGGTAGGGGATGAGGGGGAGAGGACGGAAGCCAGCTGCGCAGCGCTGCCACTAACGCGGGTCAGGGGGAGAGTCACCGGCTGGGGGGGGGGAGCCATGTTTCACTTTGCTACTAGTCACATCCGGAACAGTCACATTCACTACGGTTAGAATCACGCATTGTCATAATCACGTATGGTTATAGTCACGTATGCTTCACTGACGGTTTTTAGTCACTAACGGTTATAATCACTTACGGTTGTAGTCATAGTCATCATCGGTGGCTATAAGGTCAAAGGCCGAGAGGAAGCTGTCCCGGTGAATGTGGTGAGGGGGAGGGGAGAAGGGGGCGGAGGAGGAGGAGAAAGGACTGGCAGGTGCTTCTGGGGTGGGTGCATCTGAGAGGGTCACTTGTTCCCAAGGATTCTGTTGGGTGGAGGTGAGGGGAAGGGTGACAGGACAATGGGATGGGATGAGAGAACGATGGGATGCTGGCATGAGGTGCATGGTATGGCGTGGCATGACAATACATAGCATGGCATGGCATGGCAATGAATGGCATGGCATGGCATGGCATGGCAATGAATGGCATGACATGGCAATGAATGGCATGGCATGGCAATGAATGGCATGGCATGGCATGGCACGGCACGTCATGACAATGAGTGGCATAGGCAGCACACACCTGAGTGATGGAGAAGCCGAATGAGCTCATGAGAGCGCGGTTGTCAGCCTTGGGCACATAGGAGATGGTGAGCTGCAGCGATGGGAATGGGGCATGGGGCATGGGGCATGGAGGATGAAGGATAGGGAAAGGACACGACACATGAACGACCTCATAAGAGCGTGGTTGTCTGCCTCGGCCACATAGCAGATGGTGAGCTGGAGCGATGGGGATGGGGGATACGGCGTAGGGGTTGGAGGGATTGGAGGGGTTGGAGGGGTTGAGATGCGGATAGAGCAAGTCCCTGTTTCCTGCACCTTCCTACCATGTTTGTGATGGAGCAAACACGGTAGGAAGGCGCAGCATGTCATGTGATAAATATGATCGGCAGGCTAGGCAACACAGCTTGTCATGTCATGGGATTGAATTGACCAGGGAGGTACCACAACAGGAGTCTATTTTTGAGGCGCCTAAAAAATAGACTCCTCACGCATGGGATTGAATTGACCAGGTAGGTACCACGGTCCACAACATTGCCGCATGAATGCGACCTAATTTAACGCCGGTCAGCAACATGATGAATGGAGCATCAATTGCCATTATATCAGTCAATCTTTGCCAGAGCATGGGAGTGAACCACAAACGACGTTGTTGACAATTCTCAAAAACCAAGTGAACCACACACGAGTTCAGCTGGTCGTTGAGAATTCTCAGAAACCAAGTGAACCACACACGAGTTGAGCTGGTTTTTGAGAATTCTCAGAAACCAAGTGAGCTGCACACACGTCGCATGATGAGAAAACCATCATGACCGGCTGACAGTGACACAGCTGACCAACAGTCACTATCACACGCCCACCTCAGTGGCATCACTCTCCCCTCACTTCCGTGCCATCATTTGCCTCACCTCCGCGCCATCATTTGACTCACCTCCGCGCCATCATTTGACTCACCTCCGCGCCATCATTTGCCTCACCTCCGTGCCATCATTTGACTCACCTCCGTGCCATCATTTGCCTCACCTCCGTGCCATCATTTGCCTCACCTCCGTGCCGGCACGCACTATCTGCCCCGCATCCACCCTCACTTCCATCACCCGATCCGTCTTGCGCCAGTGCAGCGAGCAGACGGGCGAAAAGGAGTGGTTGAGCATGTCTGGGCCAGCAGGGAGAGGAGCGAGGAGAGAAGGGGCGAAACAGGGAGCCGCAGAGAGAAGAGGGGAATGAGCGAGCAGAGGGGAGAATAGGAATGGTTGAGCATGTCTGGAGGAGCAGGGAGAGGAGCGAGGAGTGTAAGCGACCGAGCATGAAAGCGAAGAGAGGTAAAGCAGGGAGCAGAGCCGGGCAGAGGAATGGTTGAGCATGTCTGGAAAGAAGGGAGAAGTGAGGGGCATACGTGAAAGGGACAGGACAGAACAGACAAGTGAAGCACAGTCAGAAGTGTCATGGTATGGCACATGTGGAGTGTCATGGTATGGCACATGTGGAGTGACATGATATGGCACATGTGGAGTGTCATGGTATGGCACATGTGAAGTGTCATGGTATGGCACATGTGGAGTGTCATGGTATGGCACATGTGGAGTGTCATGGTATGGCAAATGTGGAGTGTCATGGTATGGCACATGTGGAGTGTCATGGTATGGCACATGTGGAGTGTCATGGTATGGCACATGTGGAGTGTCATGCCAGCATCGTCATACTTATCTCAAAGCACCTCAAGGAGAACCAGCATCGTCATACTTATCTTAAGGAGAACCAGCATACTCATACCAGCATAGGGCAGCAGCATACCAGCATAGGGAAGCAGCATACCAGCATAGGGCAGCAGCATACCAGCATAGGGCAGCAGCATACCAGCATGGGGCAGCAGCATACAAGCATAGGGCAGCAGCATACCAGCACAGGGCAGCAGCATACCAGCATAGGGCAGCAGCATACCAGCATAGGGCAGCAGCATACCAGCAGAGGGCAGCAGCATACAAGCATAGGGCAGCAGCATACCAGCATAGGGCAGCAGCATATCAGCATAGGGCAGCAACATACCAGCATAGGGCAGCAGCATACCAGCATAGGGCAGCAGCATACCAGCATAGGGCAGCAGCATACCAGCACAAGGCAGCAGCATACAAGCATAGGGCAGCAGCATACCAGCATAGGGCAGCAGCATACCAGCATAGGGCAGCAGCATACCAGCATAGGGCAGTAGCATACCAGCATAGGGCAGCAGCATACAAGCATAGGGCAGGAGCATACCAGCATAGGGCAGCAGCATACCAGCATAGGGCAGCAGCATACCAGCATAGGGTAGCAGCATACCAGCATAGGGCAGCAGCATACCAGCATAGGGCAGCAGCATACCAGCACAAGGCAGCAGCATACCAGCATAGGGCAGCAGCATACCAGCACAAGGCAGCAGCATACCAGCATAGGGCAGCAGCGTACCAGCAAAGGGCAACAGCATACCAGCATAGGGCAGCAGCATACCAGCATAGGGCAGCACCATACCAGCATAGGGCAGCAGCATACTAGCATAGGGCAGCAGCATACCCGCATATGGCAGCAGCATACCAGCATAGGGCAGCAGCATACCAGCACAAGGCAGTAGCATACCAGCATAGGGCAGCAGCATACCAGCATAGGGCAGCAGCATACCAGCATAGGGCAGCGGCATACCAGCATAGGGCAGCAGCATACCAGCATAGGGCAGCAGCATACCAGCATAGGGCAGCAGCATACCAGCATAGGGCAGCAGCATACCAGCATAGGGCAGCAGCATACCAGCATGGGGCAGCAGCATACAAGCATAGGGAAGCAGCATACCAGCATAGGGCAGCAGCATACCAGCACAAGGCAGCAGCATACCAGCATAGGGCAGCAGCATACCAACATAGGGCAGCAGCATACCAGCATAGGGCAGCAGCATACCAGCATAGGGCAGCAGCATACCAGCATAGGGCAGCAGCATACCAGCATAGGGCAGCAGCATACCAGCATAGGGCAGCAGCATACAAGCATAGGGCAGCCGCATACCAGCATAGGGCAGCAGCATACCAGCATAGGGCAGCAGCATACCAGCATAGGGCAGCAGCATACCAGCATAGGGCAGCAGCATACCAGCACAAGGCAGCAGCATACCAGCATAGGGCAGCAGCATACCAGCATAGGGCAACAGCATACCAGCATAGGGCAGCAGCATACCAGCATAGGGCAGCAGATAACCAGCATAGGGCAGCAGCATACCAGCATAGGGCAGCAGCATACCAGCATAGGGCAGCAGCATACCAGCATAGGGCAGCAGCATACCAGCATAGGGCAGCGGCATACCAGCATAGGGCAGCAGCATACCAGCACAAGGCAGCAGCATACCAGCATAGGGCAGCAGCATACCAGCACAAGGCAGCAGCATACCAGCATAGGGCAGCAGCGTACCAGCATAGGGCAACAGCATACCAGCATAGGGCAGCAGCATACCAGCATAGGGCAGCAGCATACCAGCATAGGGCAGCAGCATACCAGCATAGGGCAGCAGCATACAAGCATAGGGCAGCCGCATACCAGCATAGGGCAGCAGCATACCAGCATAGGGCAGCAGCATACCAGCATAGGGCAGCAGCATACCAGCATCGGGCAGCAGCATACCAGCATAGGGCAGCAGCATACCAGCACAAGGCAGCAGCATACAAGCATAGGGCAGCAGCATACCAGCATAGGGCAGCAGCATACCAGCAGAGGGCAGCAGCATACCAGCATAGGGCAGCAGCATACAGGCATAGGGCAGCAGCATACCAGCACAAGGCAGCAGCATACCAGCATAGGGCAGCAGCATACCAGCATGGGGCAGCAGCATACAAGCATAGGGAAGCAGCATACCAGCATAGGGCAGCAGCATACCAGCACAAGGCAGCAGCATACCAGCATAGGGCAGCAGCATACCAACATAGGGCAGCAGCATACCAGCATAGGGCAGCAGCATACCAACACAAGGCAGCAGCATACCAGCATAGCGCAGCAGCATACCAGCATAGGGCAGCAGCATACCAGCATAGGGCAGCAGCATACAAGCATAGGGCAGCAGCATACCAGCATAGGGCAGCAACATACCAGCATAGGGCAGCAGCATACCAGCATAGGGCAGCAGCATACCAGCATAGGGCAGCAGCATACCAGCATAGGGCAGCAGCATACCAGCACACGGCAGCAGCATACCAGCATAGGGCAGCAGCATACCAGCATAGGGCAGCAGCATACCAGCATAGGGCAGCAGCATACAAGCATAGGGCAGCAGCATACCAGCATAGGGCAGCAGCATATCAGCATAGGGCAGCAGCATACCAGCATAGGGCAGCAGCATACCAGCATAGGGCAGCAGCATACCAGCACAAGCAGGCAGCATACCAGCATAGGGCAGCAGCATACCAGCATAGGGCAGCAGCATACCAGCATAGGGCAGCAGCATACCAGCATAGGGCAGTAGCATACCAGCATAGGGCAGCAGCATACAAGCATAGGGCAGCAGCATACAAGCATAGGGCAGCAGCATACCAGCATAGGGCAGCAGCATACCAGCATAGGGCAGCAGCATACCAGCATAGGGCAGCGGCATACCAGCATAGGGCAGCAGCATACCAGCACAAGGCAGCAGCATACCAGTATAGGGCAGCAGCATACCAGCACAAGGCAGCAGCATACCAGCATAGGGCAGCAGCGTACCAGCATAGGGCAACAGCATACCAGCATAGGGAAGCAGCATACCAGCATAGGGCAGCAGCATACCAGCACAAGGCAGCAGCATACCAGCATAGGGCAGCAGCATACCAGCACAGGGCAGCAGCATACCAGCATAGGGCAGCAGCATACCAGCACAAAGCAGCAGCATACCAGCATAGGGCATACCAGCATAGGGCAGCAGCATACCAGCATAGGGCAGCAGCATACCAGCATAGGGCAGCAGCATACCAGCATAGGGCAGTAGCATACCAGCATAGGGCAGCAGCATACAAGCATAGGGCAGCAGCATACCAGCATAGGGCAGCAGCATACCAGCATAGGGCAGCAGCATACCAGCATAGGGCAGCAGCATACCAGCATAGGGCAGCAGCATACCAGCATAGGGCAGCAGCATACCAGCAGAGGGCAGCAGCATACAAGCATAGGGCAGCAGCATACCAGCATAGGGCAGCAGCATATCAGCATAGGGCAGCAACATACCAGCATAGGGCAGCGGCATACCAGCATAGGGCAGCAGCATACCAGCATGGGGCAGCATACAGCATAGGCAGCCATACCAGCAAGGCAGCAGCATACCAGCATAGGGCAGCAGCATACCAGCATAGGGCAGCAGCATACCAGCATAGGAGCAGCAGCAATAGCACCAGCATAGGGCAGCAGCATACCAGCATAGGGCAGCAGCATACCAGCATAGGGCAGCAGCATACCAGCATAGGGCAGCAGCATACCAGCATAGGGCAGCAGCATACCAAGCATAGGGCAGCAGCATACCAGCATAGGGCAGCAAGCATACCAGCATAGGGCAGCAGCATACCAGCATAGGGCAGCAGCATACCAGCATAGGGCAGCAGCATACCAGCATAGGGCAGCAGCATACCAGCAAGGCAGCAGCATACCAGCATAGGGCAGCAGCATACCAGCATAGGGCAGTAGCAATACCAGCATAGGGCAGCAGCATACAAGCATAGGGCAGCAGCATACCAGCATAGGGCAGCAGCATATCAGCATAGGGCAGCAGCATACAGCATAGGGCAGCAGCATACCAGCATAGGGCAGCAGCATACCAGCAAAGGCAGCAGCATACCAGCATAGGGCAGCAGCATACCAGCATAGGGCAGCAGCATACCAGCATAGGGCAGCAGCATACCAGCATAGGGCAGAGCATACCAGCATAGGGCAGCAGCATACAGCATAGGGCAGCAGCATACCACAGCATAAGGGCAGCAGCAATACCAGCATAGGGGCAGCCAGCATACCAGCATAGGGCAGCAGCATACCAGCATAGGGCAGCAGCATACAGCATAGGCCAGTCAGCATACAAGCATAGGGCAGCAGCATACCAGCATAGGGCAGCAGCATACCAGCATAGGGCAGCAGCATACCAGCATAGGGCAGCAGCATACCAGCATACCAGCATATGGGCAGCAGCATACCAGCATAGGCGCAGCTACCAGCATAGGGCAGCATCATACCAGCATAAGGGCAGTAGCATACCAGCATAGGGCAGCAGCATACCAGCATATGGCAGCAGCATACCAGCATAGGGCAGCAGGCCATACCAGCATAGGGCAGCAGCATACCAGCATATCAGAGGCAGCAGCATAGCAGCATACCAGCAATAGGGCAGGCAGCATACCAGCATAGGGCAAGCAGCATACCAGCATAGGGCAGCAGCATACCAGCATAGGCAGCAGCATACCAGCATAGGGCAGCAGCATACCACATAGGGCAGCAGCATACCAGCATAGGGGCAGCAAGCATACCACAGCATAGGGCAGCAGCATACCAGCATAGGGCAGCAGCATACCAGCATAGGGCAGCAGCATACCAGCATAGGGCAGCAGCATACCAGCATAGGGCAGCAGCATACCAGCATAGGGCAGCAGCATACCAGCATAGGGCAGCAGCATACCAGCATAGGGCAGCAGCATACCAGCATAGGGCAGCAGCATACCAGCATAGGGCAGCAGCATACCAGCATAGGGCAGCAGCATACCAGCATAGGGCAGCAGCATACCAGCAGGCAGCAGCATACCAGCATAGGGCAGCAGCATA